GGCCGCCGCCCGGCCGTTTCTGTGCGTGTCCCCAGACGCCGGGCAGCGGCATAGCGGTTTTCTCCTGGCGGGCACGAATACGTAAAATAAAAGCAGGGAATGCCACCCGAGGGCGCTTGTTTGCTGAGGGAACACCTTCGGATCTGGACACTCGGCCCACTCGAAGGGAGGAGGTGTGGAAGGGGGCTTTCAGAGCGAGTAGTGAATCAGAACAGAGAAATCCCTTTTCCCCAAAATGCTTGTGAACACATGGATTTAAATATTGATTCTCTCTTGACGGCTATATCTATCATATGTTCTACTATTGCAGCATTGTTATTTGGCAAGTTTTTGGTTGGTTGTGGTTTTTTTTTTCCCCTAGGTGTGCGATAGCTTTGTGTTTTTTCTAAAGGGAAGACAGTTCTCTGCCCTGTGAATTTGTAAAAGTCAGTCTCCCCAGATCTCTTTAGTGAAAAAGTAAATAAAGGTCAATTACTTTCTTCCTGTCTTCCATTCTGCAGGTTGCCACTACAGCTGTAAAACTAGTGTTTGCACATCATGCAGTCTACCAGGACTTTAAAAGCCTAGGCAATGTAGGAACAATGTAAGACTTTAAAAGCCTAGGCAATGTAGGAACAGCCATGGCCAGATGTTAACAAGATACCAGTGTCTGTCAAATTAATCAGATTACTTATTAACCAGACAGCAAGAACCACATCATTAACATGGGTATCTGACCTACTGCAAAATCGTTTCGTTCCTTTTATCAAAGGTATATGCCAGTGATTCTTGGGCTTTAAAAGTGGCACATACTCTGAGGTGTTTGACTCTCTCATTTTTTTTTGAAAACTGTCACTGATAAAATGTGAATGGGGATGGTTTCAAGGGGCTGTCAGGGAATCGTTGGCCTGGGAAGAAAAGGAAGGTAGCTAGATATTTTTCTGCTGCTTTTTGTCTGTGATAAGACATTAGAGTATTTGTGACCCTCACATTTCTTTATTGATACCCTCCCTTTGACAGTCACAACCTACCAAGAGAGATGTATTAATACTCGTAACGTGAACTGAACTGTTGCTGCTTTTGATTCTTTCAGGTTTGTCATCAAAGGAAGCCTGGCTGGAGCTGCTGTATACACAGCGTATGATCAGGGGCTGCTGGGCAGTGGCATGCAAGGTGCTGAAGCTCTCAAAAAAGCTCAAGCAGCACTGCCACCAGCTATCCAAGAGTGGACGAGCTACATAGGCTGGGAGGTAAGGACTGTGCAGATGAACACACTCAGCAAAACAAACACATCCTTTGAATGAGGAGGAGAAAACGTTGGGGTGATATTCTGGTTCCAGTGATGCTGGCCGTTTTGCTGTTGAAACTGGATTTCACATTGAGAATATTTTGAAATGCATTGAAATGGAAGGAGGATAAAATTTAAATTTAGGGGAAAGACATTGCTCACAGATGCTATTTCAAAGAAGAAGGGGTAACTAAGCCTATGCAGGGTCAACGAAGGGATTGCAAGCATGCTCCGGGAGATATTTCACTATGTGGTGGTATTCCTAAGCTTCTTTTGAAGGATCCTACATGCTTTTAAAAAAATAATGAAAAGATTCTCCTCCCAGCTTTCTCAAGGTGCTCACAGTTCATCAAGTTGAATTTAAATTGCCTGAAGAGGCCCTTCTCTTTCAGTAATTCTTAGTTTTTGAAATCCTCAGAACAGGAGAAGCCTTTGCTGAAAGTTTGAAAAGCATTTTTCATGTTAGAGACTCTTCTAAACTAATATATAACTGTAAGGAGACAGCCATGGAGATGATTTTCCGTGAGCACCGAAATGATAAGTACTGCCCTCTGCCCCTACTTTATACCCGGGAAAAGAGTGAAGTACAGACTTTAAGCCTCATGTCTGGTCCCTTTTGAGACTTACGGAGAGTAGGCACCTAAGTATCTTTGCTATCTGAGGTCAAAAGGCTTTTCCAGGGTGATGTGAATCCTGTTACAAGTGAAACCCCTCAAGTGTTGATATTTTGTCTCTCTCTCTCTTTTTAGCTCCCTCCCACTCCAAAATTTGACTTTTCCCCCTCTGATTCCTGGAATAAAGGTAAAATAACTTCTCACCAAACTGTGAAAGGAGCAAGGGGCCAAGAGTGATGTAGCTTATACCAGTCTTATTTCAATACTCTTCTCCTAAATTGAATGATGGAGAAGGAGGTGATAGATATTACAGGCTGGTGGAAGGAGCATTGGGACTGAGACTAAAGAAGCATATTTTGCTCCAAGTTTTACCACTAGCACACTGAGTGCCTTTGGACTTAATTTCCTGTTGCTCCAACTGTGAAATAGGAGGATGTGTGCCCATAAACCTGCCTGCCTTTTCTAACCAGAGGAGCTGGTGTTTCTTTTGCCTACAAAGCTTGCTGCCCACATATGCCTCAAGACAGGCATGCCTATGCTATCCTAGAAGCTAAGATTGAAAGTTTCAGTGAAGTGTTTGGGGGGGGCTGTGGCCTCCACAATAAATAGAT